ACATCCACACACATCCACACACATCCACACACATCCACACACATCCACACACATCCACACACATCCACACACATCCACACACATCCACACACATCCACACACATCCACACACACCAATAAAACAAACCACACGGCTTCGGAGGTTCCTAAGGAGCGCCTAACAAGAATACAATGGCTATCCTCACAAAAGTAAACAAACGCCTCCGTAAAGTGGCTTGTGACAATAGCGCGGCGACAACGGTTGCCTGGCCTATGCTTGAACGGTGGCACAAAGAAGCCGTATCAACTTCCGGCCGTATCCTCAAAGTGTCAAAGTCACATTGTGCACTATCCATGGAGAGATAACTGAACCACTAGACCGCTGCTATTGACAACTGCCAACTGCTAACGTTGCATTTGCTCCAGAACAGGTTCGCCTCGGCCAACTGGATGACCGACTGGATGAAACAGCACACACTCATGCGCACAAACGGATTTACAACACGGTTCTGCTTGATGGGGTGATGATATCTAACGAGGGGCATGAGATGGGCTCAGGCGGGCTCTACATCCTTCGACCGTAAGAGGCAGGATGCACCCCCATGCCGGCGTTGGACAGCGATGGACCTGGTTATAGCGACCTGCGGAACCGATTGGGAGTGGAGTTGACGCTGCTGCCGTTGATCCCGCAGATTCCGCTGGAATTTGGTGGTGCGTGCTCAACACCAAAAAGCCGCTGACGTTGCATGAGCCGGCATGCATGCGATGGATGAGTTCTCCCCCAAACATGTGGAAAGGTAGGACTGCCCGGCTATTGTCCGTGGGCAAAGCTGTACCCCCCTACACCACACATTTATGTTCTGCATCTGTGCATCTGAGTTGGGCATGTGTATCTATCTCTGATAGGAAAGCCACCTCATGAACCTGCTTGCGTGAGCAAACCCCGGACGACCGTTACACATTTGCTTACAGCTCCCTTTCCTATCCTCTCCTTTCCCATCCAAAGCCCATCGTCATATCTTCCTCGCCTTCTCTCCTCCCTGTCTGCGCTTGTTGGCGTGTGCCCACGATTTCATCAAAAGTGTTCCTGCAGTCGATCACGATGGGACTCGAACCCACAATCCCCGCCTGAATCCCTGGCGTAAAACCGGAGGGCGATGCCTTATCCATTAGGCCACGCGACCACTGCGATGACACGCAGCACACACATCGGGTCTCATACGCCCCGTTGCTAGACGACATGGGAGCTGCGAGTCTGCGCGGCCCCATCCCACAATCACATCACCTTCACGGGCGTGTTTTGCTGGGC